GTGGGGGTGGAGGGGGAATATAGTTTGTTTGATAATAAACATGCATCCTTTGTGGTCTTCGTATTTCTTGCAGCACAAGGCTGCCCATTGTATTATATTAAAGATAGATTATAATTTATTTCATGTGCACGAACAATTTAAGTGAAATTTTACGTATAGATCTAAAGCATGGGCACATAGATTGACTAGTGGTGAAGTAAATAGTAGGGAGGCGTGGTGACAATATGAGTTACTTCTCGCAATCCAAAAATGGAGATATAAGCCAAAAATCGACAAGAGGGTCAAATTTGTAGAATTTCTATTGATGCCATATTCTTTAACTATAACTGTAACATGCCTTTTATCTTTCCACACTTATAAATTGTGAGGCAGCGTGGTGGAATCAGGCTCTCGTCAAAATAATCAAAAATCCACACAAAAATTTGATCAAAATTCACAAACCTTCGGAAAAATGCAAGTTTCGTCACTTCCGAAGGTTTGTGAATTTTGATCAAATTTTTGTTTAATTGGCTCAACACTTTTCATGCCCATTAAAGAACTAATTTCTGTGTGGATTTTTGCAAAAAATGTTGATTAAAGCCCCAAAAAGGTAAATTTCCATTTACCATGGACTCTTAAGCTAAGGAAATAACTAATCTTTGGGGGCCATTTTCTCACTAATTTTACATCTGAAAACAGGTGACCCCCACCTCCTTCTTTCGCTAATATCTCGAGAAAGATGATACCTATAGCTCTACTTGTCCAAAAATTGACGAGAGCCTGATTCCAGCACGCTGCCTTGTAAAAACTTCACCTATAAGCATTATGTATAGATCAATTTCCATCAGGCTTGAATCCAAGAAGTAACTCGCTGTGGTTTGCTGAAGAACGTGATTTGCTATTAAACTCTTAACTAAGCTGTGTAGTATTCTCCTTGACAGATAACACACATTTATACCATATTCTTGTTTTTTGTCTCCAGTATACTTTTACAAATAACCAATACTTTGAAAACATCGTAAGAATCAAGATGGAGAGCTATGCCAGTGCAAAGCGTAAACTAAGAGATGCAGTTGATAAAAGCATGTAAGTGGTGATTCTTCTCTTGCGTCTGTCTCTTTGTCTTTCGTGCATGTTGAGTGAGTCAGTGTGCTACTGTATCCTCCTCTCACTTTTCTTCGTCTGTCTGTCTGTCTGTCTGTCTGTCTGTCTGTCTGTCTGTCTATCTGTCTCTGTGGGTCTCTCTTTTGTTCGTCTTCTTGTGCCCCTATACACATGTGTGGTGCTTGCGTATGCG